TAATAGAAGGACAAGAAACATCGTAGTCTCAGATTACAGTTATTATTATTTAGTACCAGTACTCGATTAGACAGCAATCTAGACTACTAATTGATTGGTCTACCAATATTTATTGGCTACAAGGCAAAGACAAATGAAAGTGTTTTTCCCCTGAAAAATCAGGCGTCACCCGATACAACACCATCGCGCACAGCCCTTCGCGACTCATGACACAGACTATATCGGACAAAACGAAGGTACAAAAGGCGGTCAAAATACGGCATCGGAGGGGCCCCGTGCGGCCACACATACCCTCAAAACTACACCACGACCCCCCCTCCCCCAGGATTTCGCCTTATCGTGATTTATTAGCATAGGTGTATGGGATTGCAATCCCCGTGCCCTCCTGAGAACCAAGCACCGGAGCTCCGTCACTCGAAACAGAACCAACCTGTCCCAATGGGGTGTGTATCTCCCTCGTGAGCGCGTGTGCCCCCGACGCTACGCGCTACGTTGGGCACTTGCACTGCTGTGGTTGACGACGAGACTGCTGTCATGAGAGGTGCCTCGCGTTTGTGGAGGTGTCTTGATCGCAATGAAGCAGGAATTCTTCTACACATACGTTTGAGGTTCAACTTCAACACTATGAATTCATTGCTAATCTAGCTCGGACTCATATTTGTGGAGGGCTAAAAAAATAAAAAAGCGAACGCATCCGCCTTTCGACAGATGGCGTCATAAGATAGCACATGCTTCCGCCAGACCCACATGAGCGCTCGGACACATCGCGTTTCGCGCCCAAATAATCAACCACGCCTTAGAGTGTCATATTTTTCTATGTTTTTCTTGTTATTTCAACTGTCGGTCAAGCCCGAACGCCGCAAACGTTTGGCGTTTCTTGTAGGCGTTATTGCTGGGGTAACAACGAGCTGGTTTTGCACATCGCAACTCCGCGCAGATTTCTTGTCGCCGCCCCCGAGAGCCATGCAACATACGCATACTCGTCGCTGCTACAGTACAGCCTGCTGGTTCATCTCGCTCAACACGCGGAACCGCCATCATGAAAGCTAGATCCCGAAGGACAGCTCGGACGCAAACACCCCGATGGGCTTGCGCAAAAAAAATGACGACAAAACCTCGAAAAAACAGTAGTGTTGCGACCCATCTTTCAAGGCACAAACACGACAACGCCCGTTCTCCTCTAACTGCGGTTGTCCACCAATATCTCGATCAATACTGCCACGACCAGACGAAAGCTGCACACAACTTCAAGCCGAACAATGAACCAAACGAGGCGCTTTCTCTCCAAGGCATCAAGAAAACCAACTCAGCCACAAAACGCAAGCCATGACGGAAGGAAAGAAACACAACTAGTCGCCTCCCAGTGCAAAAAATCGATCTTCCATCTACTTCCACAGCTTGCGGATGGACATGTTCATGTCGCTGTCCTTCTTCATGACCTTCGCAACCGACATCTCGAAGTCCTCCTGCGTCACGTGGATGCGTCGTTCCCGTAGCGCGAACATACCCGCCTCTGTGCACACCGCCTGCCGACAAATAACGCCAACCACGGAGGAAAAAGAGGGGGAAAGCGCGCGCGCGGGTACGAGACGGGTTACGAGAGAACGCGAGATATGTTAACCCCTTCTTCATAGCGGCGATCATCACACAGCAAGCATTCCACGCTTGTGAATGTATACCTATTCTCGTAAGAAACGAAAAAAACAGCAACTGAGCAGTAAGTAGGACATCGGTTTGCTCCCGTACAAAGGAAGAACACGCCGAACATCGATCCCAAAATTCTTGAAAGCCAACATGTTCGCTTCGCGTTCAGTTGTTCAGATAACCCGCGCGAATGCCGTGAGCGTGCCGGACATACTACAACACCACGAGGCGAAACCGTTCCATGAGACATGAGAGGTTGAAACTGCAAGGGAAGGAGGCATGTTGGCATCTGTGTAACCCATTCACACATTTGAAGCCGCCCAAACAGATACAAAGTTCTGAGTGGATGCTTTCAAGCCCCACTATAATAGCAACACGGAGGGATAGAGAGAGAGAGAGATAGAGAGAGCGAGAGAGAGAGAGAGAGAGAGAACCAGAGAACCACCAGCAGTCCATGGGGAAGGAAGCAAGGCCAAGCCCAAGAAAACCCCGACCGAGTGAAGCAAACGCTCTACATCGGTCATCACTTGATGTTGTTGCGGAAAGTGTTGGTTTCGCGTGGTGCGTTAGAGTAAATGTACCACCTAAGCTCCTGACTCCACAAACAGTCCCAAGCAACGGGAGGCAGGCGAGGCCACGTTTCGTTTCTTTCCTTCCAATCAAAATACCCAAGTAGCGTTCAACCTACCCTAGTTTATGTCCAGCTTGGGGGCGTTAAATAAGATTGCTGACACGCAAAACCCACCTTACACTCCGCACCGGAGGCGCTCGGCATCTTCTCCGCGATGACCTTGAGGTCGATGCCGCGCAACAGGTTCATCTTGCGCGAGTGGATGCCCATGATGTCCATGCGCGACGTGAGCGTGGGGTGCGGGAACTCGATCTTGCGGTCGATACGTCCGGGCCGCAGGAGGGCGGGGTCGAGGATATCGATGCGGTTTGTCGCCATCACCACCTGCGCGTTTGCCATGCGGGAAAGATAGTCAGCTTCGGTCGAGGGCGAGGGATACCAAGACATGGAGCCATATGAAACCCATGAAAAGTTGGATGCACAAGAGGAGCTCTCCGTATTGCGAGAATGGAACATAGGCTGGGCGTCATTTTTGGTCGGGAGGGGGGGGGGTCTATTATATAGGCGTTAGTATCAGATAAGCCTATACTACGAAGATAATACAGGTTTTACGTAAAGCCACACTAAACCCTGTACACACTGTACACAAGTACAGCCGCCAATCTGGGCCCCGATGGGGGGGCGGAGTACAAGTTTTCCATTCTCGCGACGCGGAGGGCCCCTTGCCGTATAGGCATCGTGTGTCCCCCTCCCCCGCCTTTCCAAGAACGCCTGACCCGAACAAGATAAAGCCTGTGCACGTGCGAGACAAAAGGCCTCGCGCTAGCCCATTCCCTTGCGTGTGCACTGGTGGTGGCTGGTTGCACGTAAACCCATCTGAGCTCTACACAAAACAGTAACGGAATCTGGTTCATCCCCGAACTTTCCGGAAACTGCACCCCAACTCGCATCCCGTCTCAGCTTTGTGAGAAAAACTGCCAGTGCTATACAACATCACCACTGACCACCCAGAAGCAGGTCGTGCGCAATTCTAGACACGAAATCTAGATCTTCAGCCACCAAAATCACCGGGACTTTCCCCCAACCATATCAAGTTGACCGCCTCGAAATTGCTGCTCTTCCCACACCCATGTGGAGGTTATATCGGAACCGCGGAAACGACGCCCGGCTTTATCTTCACAATCGTGCATTTCAACATTTGAAATGCGAAAAAACACCCCAGCTTTCGTGACCTACATCAAAACTCCACCCAGGAGGGAAACAAAAACGGTCAAGATCCAAAAGATCTCGCCAGATGTGAGAAAACGGAGAGCCAACAGCGGCAACATGCTAGCAACCACGCACATGCCTTGATCATACCTCATGCGCAACTCGTATTACATCCAGCAAAACAAATCTACTTGTGAAACACGAGGCTTCGCACTTCTTGTCATTTTTCACCATGCTGCTAATCCACTGGTCTGCTCGTTCGGGGTTTCAACTGCACTTGGTTGGCACTTTTATCCCTCAGTGCGGTCAAAGCTACAACTGAGGAAACACACGCAGACACACCTTGATGTTTTGCGTCGGCTCAAAGCCATCGAGCTGGTTGAGCAGCTCGAGCATCGTCCTCTGCACCTCCGAGTCCCCCCCCTCGCTGCCCTCCACCCGGCTGCTGCCGATGGAATCGATCTCATCCATGAAGATGATCGATGGGGCCGCCTCTCGCGCCATGACGAACAGCTCGCGCACCATGCGCGACCCCTGTAATCACCCAATCCAATACAACGCACACTTGTGTTCAAAGCAGTGCCCGTAGAAGCAAGGTATAACCACACGTATGTGTACATTCTGCCACGGGTTCGACAACACTACCTGCCCCGTCATATCCATGTCCTTCCGCAACTGATGCCACCGGGCTCTTTAAATCGCACACAATCCGGGTGTTCTTGAAAGCGTCGCTCTCGCTGTGTGTTTCTAACCGAGTGCGGGGACCTCTGCACGCAGAACGCACACGATCCGGTAGTCCGCGTACTGCATGCTTGGCGGTAGAACGACGAGAAAAAAGACACACACACGCTCACACGCACACACATGCTACTGTTTCTGTCTTTCATCCGGATAACAGCTTAGCTCCATGCCGCCTCCTCACGGGATCCCATATCATGACATTTCGAAGTGCTTCGTGTTTTCAACCGCACTGAGACTGACGGCTTTACATTGGTCAACCGATTAGCGCGGTCGATGCAAAAAAAACACAAACACACACACACACACACCTCCCCGATGTACTTCTGCACCAGCTCCGACCCCGACACGCGGATGAAGGTGCAGTCGGTGTGATGTGCCACGGCCCGTGCCAGAAGCGTCTTCCCCGTCCCTGGGGGTCCGTACAAGAGGACGCCCTTGGGCTGCACGACGAGGGACAACGGCGGGTGGGGAGGACGAGTGTTCCCGGCTTTGGCCACGTCTTCTTCAAGAGTCGCCTCAGCAAGAGCATCGAGCAAATCGCAAGGAGACACTTGCGAGCTCGGGGCACATGTGGGGCGTGGATGTTGTTTTTCAGTCTACCTTGACCACTGCCAAGTGATGCCGCCACGAGAATAATATGACCCTTCGTCAAAAAAATATGGGCGGGCAATATTGCCAAGACCTTGCAGGAAAAATTTCCAACGTGGCAAGAGTCGACTGGCATGGGGTACTGTGTAGATCCGAACTTGCCTGAGCGACGCCCAGCGACTCGAACAGCTCCGGATGCTTGATTGGCAGCTCGATTACTTCCTTGATCTCACGGATCTGCTTTTCCAGCCCACCGATCATGTCGTAGGTTGAGTCCGGCACCTTCTCCACCTTCATCAGGCTCACCAGCGGGTCCACCTGGAAGGACAAACGAAGGTACAGCAGGACGAAGGTACATGTATCCAGAAAACGTGGACATCAATTCGACAACAACAGGTACTGAAGTGTGACAGTGGAGGCTGGTGAAGGACTGCGCCAAGAAAGGGTACAACATCAAGAACGACGAGAAGCAAACAAATGAGTCGGAAACAAGTCCTCCTTCTGCAGGGTACGAGATTGAAAGCAACACCGTCGACGTCTTACCGAAGTAGACATTGCCTGGCGCGGTGGCAAGGATCGGTGATGCAGCCAAACCCATGCAGAGCCATCGGCTACAATAACTCGTATTTGATTGCACCACGATAACGACGATTTCGCGGCCTTGCTCTGGTGTCAACGGCGCAGAGAAAGATACGCTTACAGCACAGGAAGAAGTGCCGTCCGATCTATTGTTACAGATTACAGTGTCGGGATGGGTCCAGGCGGAGCCGGAGTAAGAGTCGCCGATGACACATCTCGCCCAGAACTACCCCAGAGGACATCCAACAACCACGCGACTGCCGCAATCGTGGCGGTCCCTCGTGCGATATACAAGCAGAGCCATCTCGACTCTTCTCCCAAAACGGACGACGGACAGTGTTGCGCGACACAACAAATAGTACAGCAACTCTCACAGAACTCCCTTCCGGCGTACCTTAGTCGGCAAAATCTTGTGGAGCACGTACGAGTCGTTGCGCAGGGCGACGCGCGTGTTGGGCGTGCACTTGTTGACATCGATGTCTTTGTCGATGTCCACCACGTACTTTCCCTCGGGATTCACCTTCACCAGGACCTGCATCAAGTCCAGGGTGCAGTTTGCCTTTAGCAGTCGGTACTACGGTAGCTACTACACACAGGGTGAGGGAGGACGTGCTCAGCTTCACAGCAGCAGCCGCTGCCGCATGGACATCTCTTTCGGCAAAGCTTTGACTCTACCTTCAGCAACCACATGTTCGGTTTTCGGTAAGCCGCCAACTTTTTGACAAGTTCAAGATGCGTGCGAACCCCGAATTATTCAACCTGGGGTGGGCTGAGGGAGTTGATGTGTGGGGGCGTGCGAAAAAATAGGTTGAATAAACATCCCTGAGCGTGACCACCGTGGTGTCATCCCGCTCTTCTTATGTACGTAACAGAGCTGGCGTTAAAGAAAAGCACCCGACTTCACGCACGCTGCCGATCGAGCACAAACACTGCTGAAACGCTTGAGAAAAACCTGTCTTGCCAACGAATTGCCTGCCGACGGGGAACTCACTCCGCAAAATGAACTACTAGAACTTCCGTATGAAGAGATCCTTGGCTGCTAATTTCCTGCAGATCTGGTGGTGCGCGGTTGGATTGAGGGAGCCGTGTCGGTCGACCGCCTCACAAAACCTTCACCGCATCAACAAGGACGGCACCTTCTGTCGTCGGTGCGTGGTTGAGTATGAGTGTCGAGTGTCAAGGAAAAATAAATACACACACAAGACTACCCATGCGAGATAGAGCGGGGTGTGGTGGAGCACTCAGCGGCGGAGTGCGGCCTAATAGGAGCAGCAGTGCCTTGTTGGATGACCGAGTACAGCAGTACTGCTGTGGGTAGAAGCTTGGGTACAACATCAAACACCCACGACGCGATGATGGCCCACGCAGTCAGTGCGTGCGCATCAGGTGCAACTTCCGAATGTCGGCACGTACCGTTACGGCACAATACGCCTAGGGATATGTAGAGACATCGCGATCACAGCAACTGCAGCTGCTGCTGTTATGTACTTCATGCCTCCCTCCGTGCACCTTTGTTCTCAGGAGCTAATCCCAAGGGGAACGGGAGAGCGAGAGATGCACACAAGCACAAACATCGAAACGTGTAATACCATCAGCGTGGAGAGCGTGGACGCTTCGCACCTTCTTCTTCCCCATGGCCTTCACCACCTCCCCCACGTACGATCCCGACTCCTGCAGGTGGTGCAGCTCCTCTCGCAACAGCCGGACCTTGGCGTTCAGCTCGTTGCGTTGCGCCTTGAGCCGCTCGAGGTTCTGCGTCCGATCCCTCACCACCAGCTCCATCTCGTCGATTTTCCCCTGGTAGTACGAGTGCACCCCGAGATCTCGCCCGGAAGAAGCTGCTGCCATTGCTCCTGCACCCTTTCCAGCGGCGGGCTCTGCTGTTGTTGTTGTTCGTCCTGCCACCGCTACCGCCGCCATCCTTCCCCTACAACAGTGCGAGAAGACCCACGCGCAGACTTGCTACGTTCCACCGCAGAGAGCGTGATTCGACAAAGATTTCGCCACCCCGAAAATTGCCCAGTGGATGAAGGCTGCAGTAAGGGAACTGTATTGTACGTGACGGTGAATGCAACGCTCCTCTCCCTACTCTGCACCGGCACGCGGTTTGGTGTGTACTCTCCCGAAATCCGAGGGGGCTCGCAGTTAAGATGTAGTGCGTACCTGTGAATTGTTTCTCACGACACCACGGAAACCCCCCCGCCGCTTCCCGACTGCCGAGCTTGGGACTGCTGATGATGCTGTGACTGCCCAGCCCTCTGTGACACAGCAGTTCACGAGAACGCTGCTACGTTGTGGAGGCGACGGTTTCTTTGTTGTAATCCATCGGTTTGGCTGTGACACGGTGCCAATATCGTATCTTGAACCGCGTTGCCTCGGTGTTTTGGCCGTTGTGTGTATTGCGTGTGATCCGATCTCTGCCTAAAACAGCAGCAGCTTACACCCCTCTGAACAACGCTTTGAGAGTGCCCACAGCTACAAGGAGCTCGCGGGAGAAAGCTGAAGGCGCGGGCGACAGCTCGGACGTGAAGTCATTGTTTCTACACGATGGAACCGACGTCAAGCTTCGTCGATCTCACGGACCCGGGTCCATGTTCAACGCTGGCAGCGACAACAGCAGCGGCAATAGCCACGGCACCGCCGACCCAGGAAGGGTACAGCTCCCGGCAACGGGAGAGGGTGACAGGCTCGGGCGTGACAATTGGTGCACTTCAGCGGGAGAACACACCCCCCGAATCACGCAGCATGGCTTCGGTTTGTTTGCAGCGCCCCCAACCGACGTATGCCGCACCAGCACAAGCGGCAAGAACGCTTTACGATTCAACCAATAGCGCAGGCGGACGGACGCGGCCACAGGCTGCACAGCAACGACCATTCCTCCAAGCACAGAATCCGTACGCAATTCCGCGGAAACCAGCAGCGGCGGCGGCGGCAGCAGTAGTAGTAGCACGAGGAGTAGGCGCAGCTGTGTCGGCAGAAACTCCACTTGATTCGGAATCTGGCCCACCCGGCAAGGACGGGGATGCTTGCGACAAGCTGAAAAAGCGCAAGCGGAATAGTACTGGGTCATCACGCGGAGCTCCCGAGGCGGTGAGAGGATTTGCTGGCTTATTGTGGTAATGATGCCGTGCTGGGCACAGATGGCTGTTGTCGTTGATATGCACTAGAATGGTACATACGGAGGCTGGATGTTGTACCTGGTTTGCAACAGTCGGAAACGAAGAGACCGCGGACGTCGGTCGACCTTCTGCTTCAAGCTCGTCGTGGAAACGACGGCAGGCACAGCCACTGCGACCTGGTAGCGAGGCTTTCCTCCCTTCCTCGTGGTTGGCGGCAGCCAGCTCTCAATGATTTCGCATAAGCTTTTTTTTGTGCCAAACGACGTGCTCTGCGGTGTCCACTAAGCCTGTATTAATCACAGCACCCCAAAGGCGGGCGACGAGGTAAATGCTGCGTGTTTTGGCCATTCAGCACGGGATGCGCGATGAAAAGGCCAAACGAAAGCTTGATTGATATCATGCTGCCATCTTGGTATGTCTGTTATAGAAGCGTCGTTAGAAGTTAAGGAGCAAATGATGCGCGACGTCGATATACTTGCTGTTGCTTGATATTCCAACGATTTCCCGATCTTCACAGGACGGCGAGCGGTGCAGCATATGTCTCGACCCATGGACATCGAAAGGCAAACACAGGTAGGGACCTCGTACGGTGCCCTAGAAACAACGTGTTGGCGATTCTTGTGGTATCGGACCCAGCTGCTCTATCACGCAAACCTCACATTGGGAAACGGGAAATTCAGAGTTTTGCACGTGCATCTGGGTACCATGTGCTGACGTCAAGCATGGGTTTCTGTCACCCTCACACCGCGTGCGCTGCTGCTCTTGTCTCTTGCGTTCCTCAGGATTTGCACCCTACTCTGCGGACACCTGTTCGGGCAGTCATGCATCGAGAGGTGGCTGAAGGTAAGCCGGCTGGATCTCTGGCGTCTCTACTGAGACTTGAATCCCTCCTTCTCTCTCGCGTTGTCGTTTTGCACACGCCGTGTACGTGAGCCGTGGCTGTTCGGTACGGTGGCCCACCCTGGATATTACTTGATTTACCTTCTGTAGGTGCCCCCACCAACGGGTCACCGAATCGAAGTGTTTGCCACCTTGTTGTCGGCTACCAGACAGGGGTCAAGTCGTCGCCGTGAACAGGAGATGCCCAAAAATGCACATGTCGTGGAGATAACGCGGTTCGATATTGTGGGCGTCGACCGAAAGAAGCAGCAATATTGATTTCATAACCGTTGCTCATCATTCGCCTGATGGGCGACTTCTTGTCGGAGGAGAGGCATTCGCTGTAGTATAGGTTCGGCGGTTGTCGCCATAGCCTGGAGTAAGGTTACTATGGCGCGAGTTCACGTTTGCAACCAGCCAGTAGCGTCTCAGCGACCGCGGTTGATTCTCTTCCGCAAGTTTCGTGTCCTCATTTATTTCTCGGTTTCCTGCTTTTTCTCGTCCCGGAAAAACGTACTTCAGGAGAGGCGAAGCTGCCCCCAGTGCGGCGCCAAGGTGGGGGCAAAGGGCACCAACAGAATCATCCCGCTCTTCCTCCAAAACCTGGTCGCACAGGACACGGGGGAGCTGGAAACCGCGCGGACACTTCTCGAAGAGGAGAAACGCCTCCGTAAACAGGTGGGGGTGGGGGATGCCACTCGTTTTTCTCTTGGACCAGGTCAAGTTTTGCTGCGCTTAGGAGCTCGAGAGGCGCTCGCCCAACGTATGGCCAACTTGCATGGTAGAAATAGCAAAAGCCGCAGCAAGCACAAGTAGTTGGATGCCCAGTTCAATGCTTCAGCTTGTTCCATTGACGCCCAAGACAGAGCGACACGCTGACCCGAAACATCTCGTGACACCCTCACAAGACATGCTCTCATCTCGGCTTGGAGTGAACACCCGATGTTAATGTTCTCACCGAATGTGTGATGACAACATGTGCAAGGCATTACGACCGCTTGCGTGTCAGCTGGTATTCACCGCATGCCGTCGACGGTTCACCGGCCTCAAACCTTCGCTGACCTGGTCCGCACCAATAATTCTCTACGATGCCGTCGCCCACCACCCAGTGCGAGGCGGAGAGGGTACGGGTGTCCATCGAAAACGCTAGCCTGAAGGACCGGCTCTCGCGACTAAATCAGGGCGGTGCCGGCGTCGTCTCATCCAGTGTCGCGCGAAGCCAAGAAAGCGTTTCTACTCCGGGGTGCCCTAAGCCAATACGGACCTTGAGCCAATTCGCTACTCCTGGGCGTGCAGGACCCGGGGTGTCCTCGGTTGCGTACAGCAGCAGCGTCGATATTGGCAGTAGCAGTTTTATGACACCCTGCCCCAAAATAAGCCATCCGGGCCCCGCCGCGGCCTACTCGCGATTCAAGACTCCTCCGCCGCGACGACCGATCGGTAACTTGGATGTTGGCGCCGGCGGAGGCAGCGGCGGTCGGGGCTTGGCTGCTACGGAAAGCGGGAGCGAGGGGGCGGCGGCAGGCAGCACTGTCGCCGTACGATTCGAGCAGCTGCTCTCGCGGGATGTGCTCTCGGGGAGGGTGGCCGCGTTCGCTGGGGGAGCGGCTGGCGCGCTGGTAGTCTCGCAAGAGTTGGGCATCGCGGGTGGGTCCCGGGGTTCGTTGCGGCATGGAGTCACGAAGGTGCGATGCGTGCGCTAGGTGTGGTTCGAAAACGTCCGGTCCAAGCTGTTCCGTCCACGGTTTCTTGGCGAGTACCACGTCGAGAACGATCCTGCAGCATGATTCTTCCACTCAAAATGGCGACAGACTGTAGGGTGTGATCACAGCATGCCTCAGTTGTTGGTATTTGACCCGTTTTTTTGTCGTGGCGTCGTCTCGATATCGTGTTTGTGCGTCATGTATTGTCGTGCAAGCCCAAAAGAATATTTCCAAGAGTAACAACACTACGTTGGCGCCAAGTGATCCCCGCCATGTCCTTTTCTTATTGTCATGCTGCATGGAATTCTGGATGCTTGAAGGACACGTGCGTATTTTCTGCGAACACAAGACAAGGCGCTTCGAAAGAATCCGCCTTCGACAACCAAATCACCCAACTAGTGCAGGAATCCCGCGAATGATGGGGGCCGTACGTCCGCCTGCTCGCCTTTTTCTTGTCGCAGTTTAGCCTTGCGGATCTCCGTCACAACAAGAGCATCCATCTGCACCGAGAGCAGTTGAGAGATGTCAAGTTCTCCGCAGACGGTGGGAGCGTCGGGTATATCCTCAGCACTTCCTTCGACAAGACCTTAAAGGTCAGTGAATTGGGGTTTCGCGCTATCATAAGTCCTACTTCCGGGTAGCGACAGACAAAGCGGTATCGGTCTCATTAACCAACGTAGGAGTAAAGCTGCCGAGAGTCAGAACCACGGAACAGACGGAGCTCCAAACACACAGATAAGAGGTCACCGCTGGAAGAGATCACACCGACATGCAGGTCTGCAGGTGTATTTTTACCACGTGTCGACCGGTTAGTACGGGATTTCCCCGACATCTCCCCCGGGTTTCCGCGAGGTACTACAAAACATGTTTCAAACATTTTCTGTGCCTTTCACGCGGAAAGTGTCCTCAACGAGGAACCGCCGAAACGGATACGGTGACGGTCCTACCATGTTGTTTCCTTGATTGGTCGCTGGTGGTAGGTGTGTGATCTCCGGACGGATAGCGTTGTGGTGCAGTATGAGCTGGAGGGGAGCGGATGGTCTTGCCAGTGGAGCTCCACAACCCCAACCCAGGTATGACCTCTACGGCGAAACTTTTCATTTATTGTGGCAATCGTGCTTGGCATTGTGTTGGGTTTCCTTAGTCACTGGGCAATTGTCGAGGTGAAAGATTCTCGATGCTTGCACTATCCTGTTTGTGTGGTGTGCGGATGCAAGGGATTGGAGGTAAGCGCTCTGACTTGATTCAGTGGCGGCAACAGCAGTTGAGATCAGGAGACCCAGGGTCGAAACCCAGGGACACAACACACAGCAGCAGCAATAATTGATCAGATGCCAAAGCGTCTAACCTAGCTTGCCATCGATGAGAGGAGGCCTCTCCGGATTCAGCAGTGTGTTGCACAGAGCGCTCTAGCTCCGACGGTCCTGTGCTGCGTCGAAAGCCCCAATCTGTTGACACGAATTCGATGCGGATATAGCTAAACCCCACCAATTTGTTCACCCGTCCAATGATGTAATTCGTCCGACAAATGGTGGCGTTTTCAACATTGACGTGTCTTGCTGTTTCAGATGTTCTGTGGTGTTGTGGATGGGACTAGGACTTCAGCGGTTCAGCTGTTCGACCTTCGCTCTACAGCGGGCGCCGTTCGCAAGCTTCGCGCCGCGGCAAGCCAGAGGCAGCCCATCCATAGCATTTGCCACACCGCCGACGATGTTCTATGTTGTGCCACCATGGGAGGCGTTTGGGCGTGGGGTGGTGGTACGAAGGAAGGCGGGGGGAGTGAGGCCTGGGATCCGGAGGAGCTGGCGGCGGAAAAGCTCCAAATTCAGGTAAACAGAGAACGTTTTTCGCGGTTCCACGGACGAACAACACCATGCCTTCTTGCTATTATTGTATCGCGTATCAGTATTCCTCATGACTCTCAAGCTGTGAAGCGACGATTGAAAATGGTTGCAAACGTTCAGATTCCTGTTGATTTGACCACGTTCAACCATTCAGCTTGAAACCGCACGGTTGTTATCTGGCGACGATCCGTCGATTCTCGGTCGCAGGCTGGGGCGTGCTGCTCTCTCTCCCAGAGCCACGGTACGGCAGCGTCAAGCAGCAGCGACGTCGACCAGCAACCCTTCCTAGTCTCTACGCGGGGTTCGTCAGCAAGCCATGCCGTCTTTAGGCTAGCGTCGGCGTCCGCTTCCTCTCGGCAAGCAGCCACTGCCGCCGGAGTCAGAGAAAATCCTACAGCTGAGAGTCACAAAGACCAGGAGGTGGCTGTCGAAGGACGGCGAGATGCGGGAGGTTACGTGGCGATGGAGGAGGATCAGAGCGAGAGGTTTGAGTGCGAGCATGCGACGGAGCGACAACCTTCGTCGTTTGGTTTCGGCTCGTCGTTGGCGCGACTGTCAGCGATGGTCGCACGCCGGTCGTGGGCGGACAGGTGGACGCGATCCCCCCGCGTCGCGCAGGTACAGGCCAATGCTTCATTTCGTTAAGAACGCCTCATATATATTTTTTTTTCAAGGGTCAATATTGCTTCTTCAGCAGGAATGCGCAACCAAAAATAGCCAACCATCGTTATCAAGCAAGTTACAGCGATCCTCCGCGATCGTGACATCAGCAGAACGCGCACAATATACCTGGTAGGCTACAAGAACAAGAGTCTCCACGGCACCCAATGCACAACCAGTCGCGCGTGGATGAACCTACTGCTGTTGTAGGGTTCGGACTGACGTGCTGACCGTCTGCGGCCGTTGCGTGAACGCCATATGGGTGCTGCAACATCGATCCGCCTGTTGCACACCCGACCACCTGTTGTGACGGCCTCTGGCTATACATTTTCCTACAGGGGCACCAAAGTCAGCACACGCTTTCGAGGTCGCTGCTGTGGGATCCGTCCCCAGGGGATGGCCTACTCATCGCTGGTGGAGACGAACGTACGAAACAGGTGGGTATTTCACGATTTTTGTGAACGTCGGTTGGTATGTCACAATCTCACAGCGCGTTGATTGAGGAAGGGGGCTTGCGTGAGTCCTACTTTTTGGTCCTGATTTTTCACTTCATTTCCCCGAATCGTTGAGCGTTCTGCATTCTTGGGCTGAGCCGAATAGAAGCGCTTGCGGACACTTACTGGTTCTACTTGGCTACTGATTCAGCATGACAGTCGAAATGTTAGTGGGAATCTGTCCATGGCGGCGAGTAGAGTATCCGGCCCAGTCTCCGACCTGGTTCTCGTACGTTTATTGGCCGAAAATTCGATAGTTCTGGCTCGTGGGAGGGTCGGAGGGTGATGGTGTGTCCCCGGTTCCGCTGTCGACCAATGTGGCTATTGTTGACCGCGATTTATTTGATACCCATACGCGAACCGCGGGTAGGTTGTATCACGTGTCCAGCTTAACGGGGTCCCTCCTCCCTCGTACCCCCCCCCCCACCCCCGCTGGCGTGGAATGTTCACCTCTGGTCAGCCCTGGATGTGGGACGCGTTGACTGGAGACGTGTGCAATCGCCTCGCTTCTCACCGCAGTCCCGTGTTAGACTTTGCTTGTCTCCAGGACTATTCGTCCGGAAAAGGCCTGCTGTCTGCCGTTAGTCAGAGCGAGATCAAAGTGTACCAGACCTGTGCACGATAGATGGTAAGGCAACGATCGATGTCGCATCTTTCGTTCCCCGTGTTTGTGCAGCAGCAGTACACACAGGAGTATCAACCTTGAGGTGACCCTGGAAGTTTTCCTGTCCCAGGAAGAGTGGCGCTTGGTGTTCGGGTAGAGTTCAGGGTCGGACGGAGTTGTGGGGGTATTGGGACGCTATGTTCGGAGCTCTGCCATCGAGCTAATAGTTTGTTGTTGCTGACTAAGCATTTCAACGCGCTTGCTGGTCTCCGAAAGGTACCGTTACGCTTGTTGACGGTTCCACAACCAGCTTTGCCAATCTGCAATTGGGGAATATTCCCGCCCTCCCGACCAAAATTGTCACCGATGTCCATGTTTTCCACTGGGAGCGCCCGTTCGAAAGAGTGCACTCGTAGACCTCGACTGCAAGATACCCCTCTCGTTCCTGTCCCCAGAAGTTTCCAAAAGTATGCCGCGTAGTGGGTGCGGGGACTGCGCGTGTGTATACATGTGCGTTTTCGTCGCATTTAGTCTGGGCGCCAGTATACGCCTTACGGTACGCATGCATTGGACTCGCCAGCAGGGGTAACGCAGGAAGGTAACACCCTGGACCTTCTCTTGCATATTCTACTCCCCACAAATCTCGGTGTAGGCCTCCGATTTCAAACGCGGAAAGGGTGCAGCAGTTCGTTTGCCATGCGTTGTTTCCTCGCAGCTACGGGATCTCCAAGCTAGTGTCCGCATGGTCGGCTTCAGATCATGCTCGACCCCGCACGTTCGAGAGCTAAAAGATTGAGAAATTGGCAGCTACAAGACAGGGCGTGGTTGTACCATTGTTGACAAAAAAAAACATAGTATTGAAGATCCTCCACCTTGACATTGTATCCCTCCGTGCGGAGGGGAACTTTCACGAAAAGCCCCCTGCCGCGCAGAAAACCGTGAGGTTTCAAGACTATCGTTGTCTTAAAACACGAAACCACAACCGATTCCTATCTCAGCATGTTCTAGCACGTTTGCTGGTTCAACCGCCGCGTCAGCGGTAAACATGAGCAAGTCCCACACTCTTTTAAACTACAGTGAACTTTACAGCGAACAGGAATATAATGAAAGCAGCGCAGGGCAAAGAAACCCAAAAATGAAGCAGATTCGCTTACCCCACTCAGTCACGTGGAAGCTGAGATACAATATAACTATTCAAAGGACTGTAAGTCTGAAGAAGCTACGGGGATTATTGTCGGCTTTGTGAAGTCGCCGTCCGGGCTCTACACACGAAATGCAGCAAGGCAAGAGTCGGGAAAAACACAATGCGTCTTCGCCTACACGGGCACCAGGCGATTAGCGCGCGAGCCTGCACTGGGCACGAAGCACCATAATCAGATGAAAACGAGATTGCGAGTTACGACGCACCCATCCTACCAGAAAATGGGCATTTCTAAGTGCAAACAAGTGCCTCAGTCTGCTTCGGTAGTTCTCTGAACGAGCTGACTATTTTCGGGGCAGTGTGATTATGTGGGGAAAATGACCAGGAAATTTCTTTCTCTGCGATAGGATTGGGTGATTGCCTTGTGGCATCCCCATCCTTGCCCTCCAAGCAGTCCTGGCGTGTACCCCTGTTGCCATTCCAGTCACACACCCAAAAAATCTGTTTGCACTGTAGAGACAGATTATTCCTGACTTTTGGGTAGTTGGGCCTGCTCCTTCGGCACCATTGTCCCCGGTCGAGTACTCGCCCCATGTTCGGGGCAGTGGGGAGCCCCACAAGTCGAGCGGACTACCAAACGAAGTTGTAGGGGCCGGGTTTCACAACTCGCACAATGTCCTTCTAACCAGTTCGATATTTCCCCGTCTTTCGTTTTAACATTCGAGGCGTTTTCCCGCAACAAGTGGAGCCGACGCCAGCTTTGGAAACAGAGTCTCAACACCCGAGGGAGCATGCCTTTCCAAGACGCCAGATTATATCCACCAAAATCACAAATGTTCGCCCTGAATTTCGCGGCAAGACTTCCCAGACCCCAACCCCGCGCCAACTCCCTCTACATCATGACGAGTCCCAGTCGCAGGGACCCGTGTTGACAAACGTTTCTATCTCGAGAACAATTCGAAGTCTGACCATATTCGAGGAACATGAATTAGCAAACAACCAAGAGTTCTACACCCACCCGCACACCGCCGTGGTACATCCTACAAAAATTGTATGACATGCCGTCTTCTCTTCTTTGAAATAGCAGCCCGAAACCCCGCTGACTCTTCGCTTTCCGTGCGTGTATGATCGATCACACCAACGGAGGTGCCGAAGAATACCCCTTCCTACCAGCCCCATCTCTCAAGAACCGCTGCTGGATTCCCTTCCATCTCGAAAAGTCCCCTAGCAGTTCCATTTCTTAGATAAGAGCCGGTTTTCCCGACTTGGTTCGAATGCAACGTTGCGTGGGACTTCAAAAGAGGACAAAGAAAAAACACGGGAACACCCTCACTCGTTTTATTGCCGTTCCCTTTCATGAAGCTTGAAGAACAACAGCGGCGAAGACAGAGAAATGAAATGTACCACGACGTCATGGGGAGCTCGCTGCCTGGCAACGGACAAGTAAGCCAAGGGGCGGATCGACCGAACGGCTATTTCGCTTCTTGCAGATGGACAAGACGAAAACGACCTCCATTCACGGGATGGGCAGGGCAAACGCCGACCTACGACAAACACACAAATCATCCGCGGGCTTTGGCCCAAGACCCGCCGCCTAATAACCTATCGCACTATACTGCAAAAAAAACACACGGTAGCGGGAGCCGGCCTCTTTCAGGGTGCCCAGCGACTCTACCGTTCTTGGCAGATGGGAACAGCCTCCCATTTAGTTCTTCTTGGACTTGAGGTACTCCGCAAACGAGGGTGCGGCGGAGATGGACTTGCGGGGGTCGGCGTGGTTGACAGGTGCGGGGTCGCGGGTGTCTGCCATGCCGCCGGTGCCCTTGTGTCCGGGGGCAGTCTTCTGTTGTATCAGAAAAGACAAAAGGGTCCACAACAATGGAGAGAATGGTTGGGGAGCGGGATTGTTCAGCGACGTGTGGTCAGCATTGTATCCAGAGGGGGGTGAACAAGGGCGGTAACATTGTGGAAGGTGACATTCAAGCCCAACAGTGGCCCAGCATTATAGGTCGCAGCAGGTGGCAGTTGCCAACACATGCACAACAACGAGGACGTGTATGGCTTCACAAACCGAAAGCAGTGCCGCATTAGCATCGTAACACGCACACAAAACAGTTTTGCAAGAGTTTACCAACACGACCTGGCTGACTGTCTACAATTCCCTACTACCTCCTCTACGTTTCAGTGATGGAGGGGTCGGCACTCCTTACAGATCGATTCTCTTTCCACAAGAAACAAAGCGCCCGCCTGAAGAAACAATTGTGAAACATCACTGTCAACATGGGGTGCAAGTCAAGAATCAAACGCGGACGCTTCACTCACCGATGAAGAACCGCTGATGACGTCCAAGGCAGACAACGAAAGCGTCACCACCGAGAAGGGTTCCAGGCATGCAGGCGGCGAAAGTGGGCGCGGAAGCGGACAGCAATGTGAGGGAAAGCGTTGTGTGAATACGTGAGCATGGTATTAGAGAGAGGGGGGTGGGGTTGAGAAGGTGTGCCAGTACCCACTCTGGAAAAAGGTATGTAGTGGAATAGGGGAAGGTAATGAAATACCTGAACTACACGAAAGCCCGTGAATGTGTCGGCGGCGTCAACAAGAGTTTTGAATGCGGCGTCGCATGAAAACAAGCTGCAACCTACATGTCTGATCACCGCTCCAGAGAACACCCTGCGCCCGTGTGCAACCATACGGCACATAATCCACATGCAAGTCTCTCTCCGCCAGTTCAGATAAGGAATACCAATACTGTACACGGAAGAACAACCCAACCACGCGCATGCAATCGAACGGACGTGTATCAACAATCCTTCGAACGGCAAACAACCAGTGCAGGTCCCGCCACTGACCTCGACTGCGCCGACATGTAGTCGTCGAACATGCTGGCCTGCTTTTGCGCCGGGGGCATTGCCGCCTGGGCCTCATCCTTCTTGATCCTGGCGTGCCGCAAGGGCCACCAGTCGGGCAACAGCGAGCAGGCGCGCAACAGCGGCACAACGTGTTGGCGAATCAAAACCGGCGCAACATAGCAACGCGTAAGCACTCAAGCGTGTGTCCAGCAACCGGATAGTCCGCCGCAAGCTGCTGCAACCAGCCACCCGTTTTACCAAAAACGCCGAACCAGATCTTCCCGCGGGGACGCCTGCAGACGAAGCCAGCCGAGAAAGCACACCCAGATGAGCCAAAACCTCAAGGAAGGCCCATACAGCTGAGCCAACAACAAAAAGGATGGGCAAGGCTATCCGTAAACACACAAGTGTACCTCTCCGCGGTGTATGAGTCGAACTGAGAGACCGTCTCCACCTCCGCCGGGGTAACCGTCGCAGCAGCTTCGGTCACCTTGTTTCTGCGACGAAAGAACAGTAACGAGAAACGCAGCACAAGCAAATCACGCGAACGTCCGTGAGTGTACTTGCTACCGTACATTTATGCACGGAACTGAGGACACTCAGCACACGTCGACCTGTCGTTCTACTGGAGTGGTGTTCTTACTCGGAGCACGCTAGGCTCGAGCAGAGGGAGGGAGACCATTCATGGGTGCCAACTATGGTTCCGCAAACGATCGATTGTCCTATCTACAGCACTAGGCAAAAAAGGATCGACGGAGCGACTCTCCACCGAGGATATCGGGCATTCGACGCGGCACGCACTCGAAGTGACTCATTGCCGCCGACCATGTAAGCGAGCAGCGCACAATCGGGGACCGCCAATCGCCGTGCTACCACACTGACCTCGACCTCATGTAGCTTTCGTAGAACGAAAGTTCCTCTTCAGCCGTGCACTCCTCTTCATCCTCGCACTCGATCTCGGGGACGACAGAGTCGATAGCCTCCACCTGCATGCCTCTGCAGTGGAAAACCCAACGGAGAACAACGGGAAAGGGTCGAGCCAACGAAAAAACTTGAACAAATGAGAGGGAGAAGATTCAGCAAAGGCCGCATGACTAAATTGTAGCAACAACGAACAACGCACGGGTGGCAACAGAGAGAAAAGACAAAAACAGCGCGGGGCCACAGCACGGCGCGAATGGGGCCTCAACATAGGTGTCTCAGGTTCGAAACATACCTCGACGCCATGTAGCTTGCGAACAATCCTCCCTGTTCCTGCAGCTCATCCGCATCGCACTCCTCCTCCACGCAGTCTATGGGCGCAGCACCGGTCGTGTCGGTCCTGCACCACCGAACCAAAAGTCGTGTGCGGCAGAACATGCCCATGCACGGGCGGGCGGACGTGTAGCATCAGGGTGTGCAAGGCAAACAAAGCGACGAACACCTAGTTCTCGCAACACCGAGCGCGTGCGTCCAGTTCACTGATGAGCACCTACCGCGATAATCGTGGGTATTTTGCGTGACGAAGTCCAATCGTTCATGTCCGTCTGCTCGTGGAACGGCTGTTTCGTGTCGTCCTCTACCATCCTTCGGGTTCGGAAGTATGGGAATGCGGGGGGGACCGCAGATGGAGCAAGGCAGTGCTATCTGTTTCTTCAGGAAATGATAACCTCCCTGTCCACGTGAAGTCGAAACTGTTCTGTCCTTGATTTTGCGCTTCGGTGGAGGCTTCTGAGGCCACATAATTCATGATAAAGCGACGAAGGTGATAACAACGGCAACATCCACATCCACATCCACGATGACGGCCTCGACAACAATAACGCCAATGCCGGCAAGACAAGGGCAAGGCAAGGTCTCCCACTAGTGGTTACCGCAGTAGAGGTCTCCGCACCTCGATGCCATATAGTCCGCGTAAACCGAAGACTTGGCCTTCTCCTCAAACGTCGTTGCGGCCTCGACAGCTTTCACCTTGTTCCTGGCAAACAGGAAGCCAGGCACGCCACATAGAACGATGCCCCCGCATGATGTAAAACATCACAACACACCGCCGCCAAATGGAACGGGGACTAGGGCGACAGTGGCAAAATTTGGCGTGATCTGTATGACCGACGTAAAACGTGGATCCACACAGTGCGGAAGAAGTACATGCGCGACCGACCGCAAGAGAGAGTGAGATGGGGTTTTATTATGTGGTACGTCTCGCTAGAAGCATTCGCCTCGACGAAGCCAATCAGCGAGACAAGCAATCGAAGCAAAAAGCAAAAGACACTTTGCACTATTGCACGGCCACGTCGACATCATGCTCGTCTCCAATGCTCACTTCGATTGCATGTATTCCTCGTAAGGGGAGAGCTCCTTTGCCGGTGCCGCGGCAGGAGCAGCGGGAGCGGCAGCAGAAGGCACCGGAGGGGCGGCAGGTCGGCCTACACCAGGATCCGTGACCTTCGCCCTGGAAATCCAACAGAGGGAGGGGGGGGGGGGGTACTCGTAGTCGTGCATGCCGTAGTCGTTAGACCATTGACCTCGCATCCCTACAAAGCCGGGACGGAGCACGCCGGGTTCTCACCGGACCAGGCTCTCACACCACCAAGCGCGAAGCGCCGTAAGTTATTCGGCGAGTCGCATGAAGGGTGCGCTGCATCCTGCTAAGGGTGTTCGGCATCTTGTGCTTACTTCCTTGCGTACGGATGACAGCTGCGTATGACTAAATTTATTTTCTGGTACTTTTATTTCCAGAGACAGTTGTAAGCACTGTGTAACTGCCTCGAGGGTGATTGGCCAATTTAACTCAAGAGGGAGGGAAAGGGCAAATGAAAGTGGAGTTCCGCCGCGTTTTCGGCTGGATGACCCTACATAAAACGAACCGCAAGAGGCAGAATAGCAGAATAATTATCGAACGTGGCCGCTGGAATGGGCGCATGCATCGAGCGCGTAAGTGGTGCTACTTGTTGCAGGGTACGAGAGGGAGAGAACTATGTGACTGTCGAGGAGAGGAGGTTACTGAGGTGAACACAGTTGCCCGTCTTTAGTAAGGTGTCCGCTACGTCTCGTGTGCTACGTTCTTGTGGAACAGAGTACTTTCGTATTTTCTGGGGTGCATCGAACCTCTAGTTTGTGGAAGAATGTGAGGAGAGCGACCAGAACCCAACGGGTGGGCCGCTCTGTTGAAACGAGCACACGAGGGTTTCAAGGAACCCCCCCCCCGAAGATGAGAGCGCTGAGCAACCACGCTTTGAGCCCGACAGCATATTGGTACACCAGAGCAACGCGAAGCAGGGCACATAACCAGATCGAACGCAGCGCCATCCAGAGCATCGCCAAACAGGCCAACGAGACAGCAGTGCGGCGCGGTACCAAGCAGCCAATACGCGATCAACAACACAACTCACCTCGTCGAGGAGTACTCTTCGAACAGCGACTTCTCCTTCTCCGCCGGGGGCAGCGCGGCCGTCTTCTCCCTGGAATCTCGAAACGAACCGAACAGCGTCGAAATGAAACGAAAAAACGCCCTCCGAGGGGTGAGTCAAGCCAAACCTTCACCAACACGCCCGCTTCATCATGCAAACCGAGTCGAGGGAAAAGAGCCCAAGCCGATGGAAAGGTACAGCAGAGCACAACACGCAAATTGAGGGGTGGAGGGGATCGAAAAAGCAACTGCCGAAGCACGATTTCGCCGAAAAGCGGCCAAATGGACGGAGCGGGGTGCTCAGGTTCAGACTCGGGCTGAGAGCCTTCGAGCGACGGAAATCCGAATCTCTCTCAAATGATCCACACGCACACAACGTCGTGACGGGAAATTAGAGCGAAGAAGAACGGGCCGTATTGCCGAACTGCACCAAATAGGTGCCCTGGAGGAGAGCGTCGAAATTCGACAACGGGCAAAACATCGTCAAGCAACGCACGCCAATCATCGGACATTTCCATCACCACACACCGAAACAAGCAACAGCTGACGTTCTTATCCCTTCTTCTGCTGGACGATAATACACTAACCTCGACGACATGTAGGAGTCGAAAAGTGAAATCTGTTGGTCGGCTTCGGGCGTTACGGTCTTTCCGGAGTCCTTCTTTTGCCTGGAACCCCAAAAAAGACGAAATCATACATGATGAAAAAAAAAAGGCGAACGGGCCAAATACGAAAACAAGCAGGCGGGGGGAAGGGAACGGCAAAAGCCAAAACTGAGAGTCAATACTGCAACAAAAAAAGCAAATGACGGCGCGCCCCGGTGCGATGGCTGCTCGCTACAATGTACCGACCATTACGTTGATCTTGACACGAATGGATAGACATCGAGGTCCCAAAATGATAACCAAGGAGGGGGGCTCGTGTATCGTACTTGAAGACCATATCCAGGTTGAAGGTACCGGTACAATACGCTGTGTTGGGGCATTGTGCCAACATGGGGTTGGTTATCGGCCTCTCCACTTTGCAAGGTTTGCTCGAGGGAACAGACGGAATTTTGGCGGTCGGCATCAACTGCGGATGTGCTCCGTTCCACGTCGACACCTTACGGTTTTCTTATGAGAGTCCAAAGCAACATGAGAGGCATCTCAAGACATCTTCTTTCCGGTCGGGTTCTTGAGGGAGATGGGAGGTTCTAGGTAAGAACTGTCCGCGAACGCCCGAGATGACTACCGCAGCAGCAGGATAACAAAGTACCACCAGGAAACAAGGTGGAATGAGAGCTTGTTGCCCCCACCTGAGCGCCATGTACTCCTCGTACGGGGAGCTGTTGAGCTTGGACGAGGAGGTCGCCCACCGAGAGGACTGGGTAGGGGGGGAGGAGGACCCCTGAGTTGAAAGACATGAGAAACACCGGGTCGGAAATTGAGACATATCAAACGAGAGCGAGACAGCGAGGCAACGAGACAGCGAGAGGGACACAGAGCGAGAGAGAGACCGTAGGCAAGGCACCGCAGGTTCAATGAGCTGAGGAAGATAACCAGAAGCCGTGTGGCCGATTAATAATAGACTACCTGCCCTCATTCGAGGAACCACTCTTGTTTCGTATCCGCTGAATAACCTAGTTGATCCAACAAAATTGGGGGGAGGTGTGATATTCAACGGACGGAGTTTTACCGCAATGTAATGCAGGGCGGCAGCCAAACAGCGACGTTCCTCTCTGCAAATCAAACGCCCTTTCCACGATTTTCGTGTGTGCCCCCATGCACCACACCAGCTGCTGTCGGTTTAGTATCGAAAAAGGATGTGTCGCGCGTAGTCAATAACATTGCCGAAAAAGAACAAGACACGTATGAGTATTGTTGAAATGTCACGAAACGAGCGCCAAGCACCACCCATTCTACTTCAAAGTTCCTTGCTAAGTGGAGAATGTTGACGATGTAGGACGAGAGGCAAAAACCTGTGCGAACAAAAGGTGCGTGTTTTGAACGCTTACAGGCCGCGTGGGGTCGGTGACTACAGTCTTAAATGCATGCATATCCTATTCTGCTATCGTCCCCTTGTTGGAAGCAAGCCTCACATATCGTGAAACCCTTAGGCGCTTTTTGGCTTTGCTCCCCTCTCTGCTCACAACTCAAAACCACCTGCTGTTGTTCTATCAACCACACCATCTACCACCACCACCTTCATCATGGCTCCGCAAGGCAGCACTCCCCCGCGGTATATTGTCAGGATAACGGCCGACCCGTATGCGCCTGAAGGCCAATCAGACTTGACAAGTGCTGTTCTATCCTGGGCGAAGATAGAACGCGCAGGCTGCCCGGCGCAGATGCGATCGATGAACATCGTGAGCTCTTCGTCCAAGCTTCGTGCTTCTTGCCGGAAGCAGGGGGTCAGTAGACTACTCTAGTTAATGAGGAAAATGGTGTAACGGCTGACGGCACTGGTGATGCAGCTGGCGTTTCGTAGGTTCGATGCTGTAGAGGAGGACCTGCATGTGATGGAAACAATTACAAGAAAAAAAAAGAGTTTTTCTGGGAACCGACCCTTATCGGCGGGCACACGTCTTATGC